GTTCACTATAGAGCGAGCAGTACAAATAGGCAAGAATGAAGAAAGGTGCACCACCAAACAGAAAGTTATATGACTACAGTAGTCTACACTACAGGCAGTTACAAAACAATATATAGAATTATATATTATTCTGACATACAAGAGTAAAACTACACCGACCAAACTAATCGGCTACGTCGATGCCGATCACGCCGGCGATTCAAACAACAGACGCTCCCGCACTGGCTACATCTACCGCCTCGAACCTATCGGACCTATCTCCTGGCAATCGAGCAAGCAGGAACTAATCGCTCTCTCCTCTGCTGAAGCAGAATATATTGCACTCTGCCCAACCACCAAGGAAGGACTCTATCTTCGCGAGCTGCTGGAAGAAGCGAAGTTAGCCGAGTTACCCAACTTCACTCTGTTCTGCGACAACCAATCTGCGATTCGCATCGCCAACAAGAGCGGATTCGCGAACAGAACGAAGCATATCGCCCTGCGATATTTCTTCGTGAAAGACGAGATCGAGAAAGGGAAACTCAAACTATCCTACTGTCCCACGTCTGAGATGGCAGCTGACTACTTGACCAAGAAGCTCGGAAAACAGAAGTTCGAGTACCGCATGCTGCTGATTGGACAAAGCCACGTCACCATCAGCGACACTCCAGAAGCGAAGGGGAGTGTTGGGAACAAATAGTCTTAAGCGCCTCTGTCGTGTCGAAACTCAAGACACAAGCGAAGCAGCTCAAATCGAAGCACTGCGAGTCAACCCTCGGAGGTTAACGTAACCGCTGGAGGTTACGAGAAAGTCAAAGGTCAGCGACCTTTGACCTGACGCAGCGCGACAGCAAGGACACACAACTGAGTCGACATTGAGCAGTTGCCCGAGTCGCACTGTATCGAACCGCAACAGTAAAACAGTTACAATTATGTCTCTTCATATTCTCTGTACTCATATATATATTCCAGTATCTCTTTGCTTTAATCAACTTACTTTGCCCTCACATACTAGCGCAAGGTGGTTCAAGGACTTTATTCAAACGCTTCCGCTACTACATCATTTACTCAGACTTTAACTCTACTAAAGATCATAGGGCGTTCAGCCCAACATGTGCTAGGGTGTATGTTGTAACTTGTAGGCCAGCCTTATGTAGTTGAAAAACACTAAGGGCGCTTCACCTGAGGGGCGGAAGGCCAAAATCCGAACCGGCGTATCAGTTTGACTGTACGAACAGTATCCCAAATGAGTTCGAACACAAATACGTACAATGAGCGAATGTGACACAGGCCATCACAGGTGACGCCATCGCTATTCGCACACGCGGTCTGTTCGAACACAGCGACGTCGCCCACAAAAGAGCGACGTCGCCAAACATTGGGTCCCTCCCTCGCAAACGTTCATGGGCGACCCGGAAGACTGTGGACCAATCATATCAGTCGTTTGTGCGGAATTGTGTGTCACCTATCCCAACCTGTTCGAACAAACGTGTTCGAACGTGCGGGATGATGAAAATCGTGCTTGAGGTGGCAGCTCTGTTCAAATTGGCGAAATTGTGCTTCGCGACGTCACGATCACCACTACGAACATAGGCGAAACAAGTAACGTTTCGCCTGTTCGAACGAGTATGTTGTTCGAACCGACAGGTGAAGCGCCCTAAGGGTACATTCCGCTGTGGACACATGTCCCAATCGATGTGTCCCAATCGATGTGTCCCAATCGAGTGTACCGCTCCGAACCGAACTAAACCAAAGTCGCGAAAATTTCAAAACTAGGGTGCAATTTGGTTTAATACGATGCAGTGCGGTAGAAACGATTGGGACACATCGATTGGGACATGTGTCCACAGCGGAATGTACCCTAAATACAACTCACCAGCACTTCATCAGACTAATCATTGGGGTAAACTCTGATTGGTTTTTTTTTTTTTTTTTTTTTTTTTTTTTTTTTAAAGACACTCTGAAGTTACAGCTTTTGTTTCAAACCTAGTCTGATCAAATCAGACTAACACAGTGTAATAAGTCTGACAAATCAGACAGGCATAAAACGAATCTGAGGGCCTGGTCAGGGTACTTCCTAGCACCGACACCCAAGCGTAAGAATTAGTGGTGTCAAAAAGTGTATACTCCTTTTCATAATCCACATAAAGCAGGGACAATGTCAAGTCTTGAGCAGCCACACACACCAGCAGACCATCGATTCAAGTAAGAGCCTAGAGAATGAATGTACTATACTCCACATTCACAAATATAGGGATATTGTCATTTGATCAGGGCTTGAGCAGCCACACCAGCAGACCACCAACAACAGTGCCCGCAGCAAACGACATGGTGCTGCCCGAGCCTCCGTCCGAAGCTGGCTTGGCAGACTCGGCAGCCTTCTGAGCCTCCTTAGCCGCCTTGAGAGCCTCATGCGCTGATGCTGCATGAGCTGCGGCCTCCTCTTTGTGAGCCTCCAGTTGCTGCCGGGGTATGGGAAGGTGCAAGCAATGGGTAAAGGGAAAGAGAGCTGATGCTGATGCTGATGCAAGCCAGGGGTTAGGGGAAGCACAACCCTAGCTGATGCTGCATGAACTGGTGGCCTTGAGAGCTGCATGTGCCGATGCTGCATAAGCCACGGCCCCCTCCTAGTCTTCCTCCAGTTGCTGCAGGGGTATGGGAAGGCGTGGGGATTATGGGGAACGGCTATGGGAACAAAGAGTCTGTCCCTAATTGGCAGTCTGGAGTGTGATAGCTTTCCATGCACCCAGAGGGGGACGGGAGGGGAGTGGGTGAATAGGAGGTGAAGGGGGTCAGGGAATGGACGAGCAGCGGCCCAGGAAGGAAGAAATAGGATGGTGAAATCCAGGGTGGTTGCATAGAAAGTTAAGTATGAATGTTTGGCGTCGGAACAAGTATTCATGAGTGAGAGGAGCAAGGAGGAGCACGGAGAAGCCAGGAGAGGCAACGAGGAGCAACGAGGAGCCAGGAGAAGCAAGGAGGAGCAAGAAAAACCAGGAGAAGAAAAGACGGTCAAAGCATGGGCAGCGACGGGCAGAAGGGACTTACAGCCTTGAGTTTCTCGAGCTTCTCGTGCTCAACTCTCTGCATGCATGAATGGATGGATGTGCGAAAACATCAGCACAGACACAATCCAAACCACAGTGCATTTGGCAAAACATGCATGAAACACATGGGAAGAAAGGAAATGTACGCAACACATACGTGGAGGGCAAGTTCATGCAGAAAAGAAAGAAGAGAAGGAGAAATCCATGCAAATCATGTGAAAAGAGGAAATGCACAACAAATGACCTTATCCGTATGATCTTAATGTGTTTCCAGAGACCAAGCGTTGACTATTAATTCACGAGAGCACTATGAGGGAGAACCACCCCCTTAACAAGAAACGTTCTCTACAGCGTGTTCCTATATTCCTCTCTCACCTTCCCGCCATAGCTCATCGCGTCCTGCGCTCACTGCGCTTTGCTATACCAGCTACGACGACGTTCGCGACGCATACCCGTTATTAGCCCGTTTCGTTACACGCACAATCCACGAAAGGCACAAACATGGAAGTAAACGTTTACGACAGAATGCTCTTGCTCCTTCGCACCTTACTGCTCTGGATAATCTCATCTCATCGCCAGCCACCATACCACTTGAAATGACACTTCCGAGAGATACAATACACACGCACACTTCGTTACAAGCACAACCCGATAGAGGAACGCACCTGGAAGTAGACGTTTTCAACGGCGTGCTCTTGCTCCTCCAGCACCTTGGTTCCCATCGCCCGCCGCCATACCACCTCAGCCGGGCTCGCCGGCAGGCCGGCCAGCCGCCTCGCCGCAAGCCGAGCAATTGAAGAGGCCATGGGGATGATATTACCTGGCGAACGAGCCGCGACGACGATATTAGTGGCACTTATAAAAACTGAGGGACAATGTGAAGGAGGTGTGGAAACAGCGAAACGACGGATCACTGCTATGTTGCCTTTGTTACTAACGTACAGGGTTAAAAAAAAGAAGTGATTAACGGATTCTCCTGGTAGAAAATGGAATGGAATGGAAGGACGCTGGAACTAACGGATCTGGTCTAAGCGCGCGCGAGTGTATTATTCGTGGCACCGATGGAAGCGGGGAGCGAATGGAAGTGATGGAGGCGTCGGATGGCGGGAAGAGCGGCTGAATAATCGGAATGGAGGAGAAGGATTGGCAGTGGCGAGAAATCTGACCCAGAATATGCATGAAACGAAGGTATCTAGGTTCTAGACTGGCTGGGGTGAGAAGGCAAAGTGCATAACGGAGGTGTGGACGGGCGTTGGGTGCGGTTGGAAGGGGGAGGGAACGGGGTAACTGCTGGGGAGGCAAGCGGAAGAACAAAGGTGGGGGAACAGAGCGGAGAAAACAGATGGGGAGGGACGGGGAGCTAAGGAGTGTTACCAACTTGACCGTGATAATTTGTTATGGAAACTTTTTGAAAACCGTTTTGAGCCGCACTTGAACGATCAATATCTACATCACTGGGTGGTATGGCGAGATTCAATGCACGAGCAAACCACCCAGGAGAGTAACCTGCAGTGGCGAAACCCATGACAGTACCAGCGTCGCCTGGGAGATTTGCGTGTTGTGCTTGTTGCGCTTCACGTCATCTCGGGACCACGTCAGCTGGTGGTGGAATTGGCCCAGAGCAGAGGTTGTTGTCCAATCAGTGGGCCTCGAGACTAGCTCGTGATGGCTTAGAAGATCTTTCCCCCAATCTGGGGAGAAACCAGCAGTAGAATCTTCGGCAAAACACCATTTGATCATGCGAATTCAGAAAAGCGCGGAACACAATCATCAATGTCGCAACCCTCCTCTAAATTGAATGGAACCAGGGATCTAGGCTTCGCAGTTATCCAGTTACCACATGAGAAGCTCTGGTATCCATGAGAAGCATGGAAGCCTGCATTTCTGTCAATACTAAGTCAACCTAAGTTCCACAAGAACCAGAGACGCTGAGAGCGTTTGTTCTACGTAAAGCGAGGCTCTGCCGTTCAAATCATGTGGAGGCTGTCTCGCGCTGTATTTAGATCACCATGCCACGCGCCGTATCGGTTATCGGAGCCGTTAACAGCCGCTGCTGGGGAGACATGGACTCGCATAACCGCTTCGGTTACTGACGCTCCTTTCATCCTTCGTGTGCGTCTAGTTCCATCTACATCGTCTCATTCCGCTTGGTTTCTCGGCTGTCCATCCTTGCAATGTTCATTCGTAATCACTGCTCTCCAGAACAATAGGTGATGTTCAAGTCAACGCAAAAGTCACCTACTTGGTTTCTCAAGCATTCATATATGCAATTCTGTCACGTCACTTATGCTTTCAGAACATCAGGCTTGTATCGAGCAGTCTACGTGAGTCCGCGTCCGCATCACCATCAGCGCCGAAGGCGTGCGTAACACCATCAGATACCGATGCAGGGAAGCCTCCAGACGCTAGCAGCCATGGCTGCAGCACCAGCACTCTCGAAGACGGCAGTGACACTGCCAGCGGCGTCAGACAAAGCAGCAGAGATAGCACTGGCATTAGAAGCTGCTGCAGCAGCAGCAGCAGCAGCAGCAGCAACAGAAGCAGCGGTGGAGAAGTGTTTGACGTGGCAATCGTTGGCGGAGGTCTCATTGGTGCTGCTGCAGCATGTGCACTCTGTAAGTTACTGTTATTGTTACTGTACAGTGCTGATTCCTTGATTTTTGGCTGCGGATTCTTCTATATTCATTAACCTTCTCGACCTAATTACCCTAGTTTGTTCATCTCGGGGAGCTTTTGTGCTACATGTAAACCCTAAGCCGTCTCCCTCTCCTCCCTTCCTCCTCCGACTTGTACTCCTGCAGCAACCAGTCGATTCACACGAGACCTCCGCATCGCTCTTATTGACGCTCTCCCTCTCAGCCAAGCACCACGACCTGCCTCCCACAGCAGCAGCACGCCTTCTGTTGGGGCAATGCAAAGTTCAGCTCCTGATGCGCGAGTGATCGCCGTGAATCCGTCATCCATCGACTTCCTCAAGCGTGGGTTACTTGTCGGTGTGTGTGTGTGTGTGTGTGTGTGTGTGTGTGTGTGTGTGTGTGTGTGTGTGTGTGTGTGTGTGTGAGTGTGAGAATGGAGGTTCACAGTTAGGCCTAATAAGTATATTTTTGTTGCTGTATGGTTCTCATTCGATCTATCCAGAGCGTGTGATACTTAAAGCAAAGTGTTGCCTTCATATCCTTGCAGGTGTGGGCGTGTGGGATGACATTGCATCTGACACAGTCCGTGCTGCTCCGTTCCAGCACATGCAGGTGTGTGCCGATTTCACTGCTGCATCTTTACCGTGTTCATTATTATTGATTTTGTAAAAATAGGAGTCTATTCACATGGTTCTGCGTGTCTGGTCACCCTTTGATCCCAACCATGCGCATTCTAGTGCGTTCGCGTCAAGCTTACAGCAATCCATGCATTCTGGAACGACGTACAACTTCCCATCCCTGCTCTTGAGTCCATTGGCGTGTGTGTCCTGCTTGTGTTCTGCTCCTGCCCTGTTCTTGCTATTGTCCTTCTCGAGGTGTGGGACTTTGCCGGGCCAGGATTCATTCGCTTCAATGCATCTGCGAGCCATCTACCATATCTAGGGTGACTTAATCTCTTCATTATGCTAGATCATTCAATATTATATGGGTTATCGGGCTGCCTTTCAGCACGCCAAGCCATGCCATTTTAGCTTCCGCTGTGTCCCTATGACATCCGTGCTGAACATAAGGAACATTGCTTTTCTGTTTCCCAAGCTGTTCTAATTTTCTTGTTTATTTACACTCATTTTCGTATGCTCAGCTTCCACTTATCCATCCCTTTTCAACTTCATCACACCGACGATCCACTTGTGGTACGCAGGTACATAGTAGAGAATAAACTGATCGTCAGCAGCCTTCTTCGGAGAATACAGGTGGGTTTGTGCAGCTGCACTGCATGAATACTCACAGACGGCGACGAAGCGCAGTTTCCATCAGCTTATATCGTATCAGTCCGATCGCCCCCTAATCAAAACCTGAAGTATTCCATGCGTCATTTCGTGCAAAAAGCGAAGTCATTGAGGAGCAATGTACGATCAGTTGAGTCTTGAATGTCTCTCGGTCTTCTCTCACCATTGGGAGCTTCGATCACGGCCTGCACGCACAAAGTCCAGTCCAGACCATCAATTGGTGTAAAACGAGTTTGCTGTGAAGCATGGGTTTGCCACCAGTCTCTGTCCGCACCTATCCCTCCCTTTCCCTCATCTCCTCATCAAAGCCCTAGCATCAACTGGCCGGGCCGAGTAAGTCCTCATTCGACTTTTGAGGCGCCTCAAAATGTGCCACCAGTCTCTGTCCCCTCCTATCCCTCCCTGTCCCTCATCTCCTCAACAAAGCCCTAGCATCAACTGGCCAAGCCGTGTAAGTTCTCACTCGCCTCGAGAACCCTCTCTCCTCTCCCCATTCCCAACCATGCAGGACCATACCTCCGTGTCCCTCATTGCTCCAACGAAGCTCCAAACCATCAACTGGCCAAGGCCTTATGACTCCGCCAGTGTCACTCCCTATTCAGTCACATCAGAACCAGGGTCTCTCGGTCCTAAGGCCAGCAGCGGGAACAAGGATGGTGGTGGGGATGGGGATGGCTTAGCAGAGATCCACTTTGAAAGCTGCCCACCCATTCGAGCAAGGCTTGTGGTAAGCCCCTTCGCCTCTTCCCACTGTGGCTCCTCTTTTGTGAAAAGCTACATGCCTTTGCTTCGCTGACCCATCTGTCTATTCCCCTCCTCCCCAGTCACTCCCTCATCTGAATCTCCTTCTCTGTATGATCACCCCCCTGCCCCTCCTCTCCCTCTTTGCTCAGACATTTGCATTGCCTCTGTTATACCATTCAATCCCCTTACCTCCTCTCTCTCTCTGTATCACCTATTCTACATCTTCACTCCCCTCCTCACTTTCTCTCTCTCTCGTTTGTATCACATCTTATGCAACATCACCCTCCCCACCCCCTCCCCTCTCTCCCCCCCATCCCCCCCCTCTTTTCTTCCTTCCCAGATTGGAGCCGATGGTTCTCGATCACGTGTCCGCTCCCTCGCACACCTCCGCACCATCGGATGGCCGTACCACCAGCGAGGAGTGATCGCGACCGTCGATCTCGCTTCCCCCAGCATCACAGCCTGGCAGCGGTTCCTCCCTTCAGGCCCTCTCGCCCTCCTCCCGCTGGGGGATCACTTCAGTAATGTCGTGTGGTCGACCACCGAAGAACACGCCCTTAAGCTACAATCCATGAGCCCTGAGGAATTCGCATATGCAGTTAATGAGGCGTTCAGTAAAGAGTTTCCAGCACATGGGCTCTCTCAAGGGGGTTTAAAGCTGCCTTCTGTGCTTCCCTCTGCTGCTTCTGTTGCTGGTGCTGGTGCTGCTGCCGCCGCTGCTGCTGCCGCTGCTGCTGCAGCTGCGGGAGCTGTTTCTGCTGCTGGTGCAGCAGCAGCAGGGAACTCACTTACTTCTGCTATTGCATCTGCATTCTCCCTACAATCATTCTTGAGACAATCTCCCTCTAATCCCCTCTACAGTTTTAGTGATACGGACAAGTTTAGTATGCCTCCGGAAGTTTTATCGGCTCGAAGCAAGGTTCTTTCGTTCCCGTTGTCGCTACAGCATGCCGGCTCTTATGTTGCACCGAGATGTGCTCTTGTGGGGGATGCAGCACACACGGTGCATCCTCTGGCAGGACAGGGAGCCAACCTGGGATTCGGGGATGTTGCGGCACTTGTAACAGTGCTGGAAAAACTGGTGGAAGTTGGAGAGGACATTGGAGAGGTGAGTCAAACTACAGTCAACCTACATTGATCGTCGTTGTTGTTGGATTTTTTTTTTTTCGGTCTTTTTTTTCTCCAACAATCGCCAGGTCGTAGGTAGCATGTGGACTGACGTCCTGCTGGTTGTTTGTTACAGGTGGCGCTCTTGAAGTCGTACGAAAGGGAACGCCTAGGTGCCAATATTGCCATGATGGGAGCCATGGATTCATTGAAGCGAGTGTTTGCGACCGACACATTCCCCTTGGCGAATGCACGTGGTATTGGGCTTTCCATCCTCAACTCGTCGCCATTGGTCAAGGAAAAGTTAGCTGCATTTGCATCAGGCACCATCCTGTAGTAGTGTTCATAGATGCATCAATAAGGTTTCATTGTGCTGTTTTTTATAAGCTGGGCTGGATGAGCTTGCGTTTTAACGAAGTTCGGTGAGGGTGAGGATGTGCTCGGGCACGTGCAGCCAACCTCAGCAAGGGTCTGTCGTGTGTCACTGTTCTGCATGCTCCAATCAAAATGGAGCGCTGTCTGCTGAAAGTCTGAGTTGGACCGCCACGTCCTTCAGCCAGCCGCCAAACCCAGGCAAGAGTTGTTGTAACAGTCAGTGTCAAAGATCGTGTTCGCGAGGACGTGCGAGCAAGACGATGCTAACGAAAGGGTTGTTTGGCGAATGGCCCAAGCCCAACCCCTAGTCAGCTGAATCTTGAAAATCTACCAGAGGCGTGCCATGTTTGCTCATAGTTCTCCACATACCGTTTCTTGGTTTCTGTTGAGCTTCTTGACATTAGGTTTTATTTGCCTGCATCACTCTCGTTTTCTGCGCCCACCCTTCGTTGAGAACCTTTCATTCGTTAAACTCAATCTCTCACTGCTCCGATGGCTGAGGAGGCTGTTGTGAAGAAGCGGAAGGTGATGGTGGCACTTGATGGCAGCGAGTTTAGCCGCCAGGCGTTCGACTTCGCCGTCGCAAAGATCTTCCGACCGGAGAAGGACCTGGTGGTGCTGTTCAACGTCCGAGCTGCTAGCGGCGATGGTAAGTCTCCTGTTTCGTTTTGACGCATGGCATACCTTCTTACATAAGTCATTCGGCCTGCAGAATGGGATTCTTATGCATCTGAGACGTATGTTTCACTGAAGGCAAGAATACCATGGGTCGTTAAATACACAAGGTCCAATATGCGCTAACATTCAAGGCCGTCGCACCCCAATTGGCTAGCAGCTGTCAGCGGTATAGCTTGAGTCATTATGAGTTGACACACGTTTGTACTTGTAATGAAACTCTTCGTGCACCTGAGCGCTTAGTTCGCCGACCATTGTGTTTTCCCGAGGCCTTATTCCGAGTGTTGTTTCTTTTCCCTTTCTGCCATTTTTTTATTAGCTGGCGCTGAGAACCCTATTCTGGAGGAGTATAAGAAGCTGGCGGAGGAGAAAGGTCTGGAGCACGTCACAATTGAAGAGAAGGGAGATCCAAGGCAAGTCCTCTGCTCATTGACTGATGCCCCTATTAGAATGCAGTCCCTGAGTTATGTACATTCTATATCTTCTCCCGCTCCTTTGAAGTTCCTGGTTGTAGCCCACAGACCGTGTTTTCTAATCTTTTATTTTTGTTTTTTTTCATGGATGACAACAGGGAGGCAATTATTAGCACCGTGGAGAAGGAGAATGTTGATCTGCTTGTAATCGGCAGCCATGGCAAGGGCATGACCAAGCGCCTGCTGCTGGGGAGTGTCTCAGACTATTGTGCGCATCACTCTTCGTGCCCTGTGCTCATTCACCGACCCCAGTCGAAGAAACTTGTAGTGTAGTGGGCGTCTAGCTAATTTGTAGAGGTTATCAAATGGTTTGTTTGTTCTATGGATTGTAGTATTCAGACTTATAGATTCAGTTGCATTGTTCAACTGTATTAAGGATGAGAAACTGTACTAGCTCTATTATGACCTTCAAGGCGGGCCACTTACGGAAGCAAACACACAACGACACGTGTCACCCGAACCCCAATGCGCCATCCAATCCCGTGCCGTGCGCCTGCCACGAGCACAATCCAGAAGAACGCTATCTGCTTCTCTTGTGACCCTTGATCATCTCCCATCGACGACACCCACCTCTCAACCTTCTGTTCTATCCTCGTCTCTTCTACTTCTCTTCCCACTTGCTTATCTTTCTTATCTATGGTCTGAGGCAACTTATGCTCCTGCTTGTTGCGAGCAGAGCTTTTCCTGTCAATCCCTTGCGCTCTGTTTGGTGTCGCGTTCTTTCTTCGCTAGCTTTCGAATCGAACGATTAGCGAAAGAATTATACCAGGAGGATTGTTTCTTACACCTCTAGCTTCTAGCTAGTAGGGCCGGGAAATGGCTGCGGCTGCACGAGCGGCTGCGTACGTGGCGGTGGGGAGCACAGCGTTGTCAGACCAGCGTCAGCAGACTCGAAGATGGTCGGCCAGTAGCTCTCTGAGCGCCGGCTTGACGCTTCGGCGGAATGATAGGTGTGCTTATAGCGAACTTTTTCTGCCGTTTACAAGCCAATTCCCCGTGAACGGTAGATTGTCACAATTGTCATTCGTCGGCATTTACCGATGTTCCTGCGGGTTTTATTCCGCGTGTTTTGGTCTGTTGCTTCGCAGATGCGTTCGCGAGGCGTCGCGATCGCCAATGTGGGTCTGTGCGATGGACGCCTCTTTCGGCGACGGTACGCATTTCGCTCTTGACTGCCGCGTGCCATTACACTCTGCTCTTCTTTTCTTCTTGCTCAATGTCGTCTGGCCGACCCCTGAAGTAGTATCACATCCTTACTTGCGGCTTGGGGGACCGTATACCCCTTCAATTGAGATTTCTGATTGTTGATGTTATACCTCAAGACTCGTCCTCCAACCATCACGTTCAGACAGTTTGCTGCAACGACTTCAGTCTCTAGCTCGCAATTCCCGTGTTTGCTTCTTTCCACGCCATTTTTTGTTTTAATTTAACATTTCCACATGTTTTTCCCTTTTCTTTCTCCAGAAGCACCAAAGGTGTTCCCGCGCATCGGAACCCGCGACCCCTACAAGCGCCTCGGGCTCGGCCGCGACGCGTCGACGGAGGAGATAACAGAGGCGAAGAACTACCTGGTGGAGGAGTACAAGGGCCACGAGCGGAGCCGCGAAGCCATCGAGGAGGCGTTCGACAAAATTATCGCGGAGAAATTCAGAGAGCGACGGAAGTCCAAGATCAACCTGAAGGTCAGTGCGTTATTGTGCTTCTTGATCGATATTTTGTTCGAAAATATATCTCAGAAACCGAGAATCATTGCTGTGCCTCGACCTTTACGAGCGGTGCGGCTGGGTCGTGGCCAGTGTGTATGGGCTGTGGGAAGTTCTTCAGTTGAATCGGCTTAGGATACACATGTGTATCTGCTGTAACTGGAATCAGTAGGTTAATTTATCAATCAGATGAAGAAGATCGTAACCAAGAGCAATGTAACCGTGCCATTCCATGGCGGTTGTTGGTTCCACGCTACCACCATGCATTGTCTGGACTCTGAACAATGCAACCTCAGCCATGACGCTTAAACCCGAAACCCTGGCGACAGCCACAATCCTGGTCATGATCCTTAACCTGCCGTTTTACATCCATTCCCCCGCCAACCCCTCGCTCTCTGGTACTTATCTTCCATAACGACTCCCCCTCCTCACTCCTCTACAGGCCGATCTCAAAAAGGTGGCAGCAGCTTTTCCTGTTGATCCAAGCACACTTTAACATGGTGGATGGATGTGCCCAAGCCTCGCTGCCGACTCACACTTCCGAAACCCCCTCACACATGCAATCAACTTCTCTCTCCCCGCCCCCTCCCTGGATCCAGGCGCTCATTGACATGGTGGATGTGCCCAAGCCACGCTGTGTGATGAAGTGTTTGTTCCCCATTCTCGCCCTCACCTCCTACCCTCCTCCAGGCGGATCTCAAGAAGAAGGTGGCGGAGGCACCGCCCTGGATCCAGGCGCTCATCGACATGGTGGATGTGCCCAAGCCGGCGGTGATTGCGCAGCGTGGAGTGCTCTTTGCTCTCATCGCCGTCTGGAGTATCATGAACCCCGCCGAGGGTGGCCCAGCCTTCCAGGTAAGGCCTTTGTGATGAGAAGATTCCGTTATGTGAGAGATGAATGCGCAGTGATTGCGCAGCGGGCAGTGCTCTTTGCTCTCATCGCCGTCTGGAGTATCATGAACCCTGCTGAGGGCGGCCCAGCCTTCCAGGTGAGACGATGAAGGAGCTGACAAAGGCAAAAGTACTCCTGGTAGAGAAATCGAGCTGGCACAGCACAGGTGAGTGACGCTGGTGTAGCGGGCGGCGGCGGTGCTCTTTGCTCTCATCGCCGTCTGGTTGAAGCATCGTGAACCTTGCTGATGGCCCCCCTCAAGTTATGGTTGTGTGCTGTATTGAACCCCACTCCCCACCCTCCCTCCCTCCCTCCCTGGACACTGTCCCGTCTCCGTATGTGCCAATAACGAGGGCGCCAGTGGTGGGACGGCAGAAGCCGACAGTGGCGGCGGTTAATCCGCCTGCGGTGGTGGAGACGCCGGAGGCGTAGGGGACGCCAGGAGAGATTACTCCGGCGCAGGAAATCGCGGAGCTAAAGCGGAAGGATGATGCACTGGCGTCCCCTAGAAGCAGAGCAACAGGCGGACGATAAGGAGTAGGATGTGGCGGCGACGGTACCTGATTAACGAGCGGCTCAAGAGCATTACCAGGGCACTCACTCATTCATGTGTGAACCGTGCTGCTCCTTCCCTTCACGCCATACCGTCTCCCTGTTCGTTTCAGGTTGCGGTGGCTCTGGGTCTCTCAGTGTACCTCATCAACGAGCGGCTCAAGAGCATTACCAGAGCACTCATTATCGGGTACGTGGTTCCCCCCCCTACTTTCCACATGCGAAGCACGCCCAAAGAGTGCCCTACGCCCTGTGCTCATCTTCGTGTTGGCCAGCCATGGCCAACCAGAGAGTGCTCGTGCTGGCTAGGTCACTGGCTCGTTGATCATGCCCTTTGTTCCCTCGGTGCCTTTTATCCTCTTTGAGGCGACTCGAAACTCGTGTCATGCATCCCAGAGGGCAATTTTTTCCAGTTTCTGATCTCGAGCTAAGCACTTCCCTCATCACCCATGTGCTCCTTCGCTCTTTCCTTCCATCCTTCCCTCCTACCTTTCTTCTTCACCATTCCCCCCAACCCGTTCTCTCAGGTTCGCCACGCTCGTGGTTGGCTGGATCACCGGCTCTTTCCTCGTGCCGTTCATCCCATGGGGCATTTTCCCTGGCTTCACAAATCTCAAGCTCGCCATGTCTCTCGTCACTCATGTGCTCCGTCCCTCCTTCATTGTTCCCTCGTACCTTTCTTCATAACCATTGCCCCAACCCATTCTCCCAGGTTCGCCACGCTCGTGGTTGGCTGGATCACCGGCTCTTTCCTTGTGCCGTTCATCCCGGAGGGTATTTTCCCTGGCTTCTGGAGTCTTGAGCTCGGCACTTCCCTTGTCACCTACGTCTTCCTCTGGTTCTCCACCACCTTCCTCAAGTGAAAACATATTCACGATGCTATAGATGTCCGGTACTGAGACTTAATGCGCTCACTGGCACTTGCTATTTTGATGTCTCAAGCTCGGCACGTCCCCAGCTGCATGTGTCTTCCGCTGGTTCTCAACACCTTCCTCGAGTGAAAAAGAGATACCGCCTGGGATTGTGACTTGGATGGCTGGGGCAGTCAACTAGGTGGTGGAATGTATGTGAAATGTAGTAAGAATGTGGTAGTGGCAAGCAGCATAGCATTTGACTGGTGCTGCACACGTAGAATGTGACCTACGACTTCCTAAACCCTAAACTCTAAACACAACCAAGTGACCAGGGCCAGAGTGCCTCTTAGTTGGAGTTCTGCGCTTTGAGTGATAAATACCAGTATGAAATCTGAAGCTAGGATGTTTTCCACCAACGACTTACTGTGATATCACGGGGAACTTTTTGAGGGAGATGAAAACGCGTTTCTTGAGCTGGCTTGGGATTGGGATGAGATCGCGTTCCAGTCCCAGCGCCATCCCCGGCGCCAGTCGCGGCGCAAAGGCCAGGCCTGGTGAGGTGAATTGTACGCCTCTGCGCGATCGCACAAATGCCAATTTCCGAACCCAAATCAACCCTCCGTTGGCTGTTCAACGAGGGAAATGATTGGCTGCTCAATCCAGCCACTTTGGTCCCAGCCAGCCGAACCAAGAGTGAAACCTTTGGTCGATCTCGTCTTGTCTCCTCTCTCCCACCACGGGCATATATAACACGCTTTTCCATGGTTATCGAGATGATCCCACTGAATACCCAGCCCCACAACTATTCTCACTCTCAGTAGTAGATCACGCAACCCAGTCGACCAGAGGAGCCACCGACGCCGTTGCCTGCACAGCACGACATTTTCCAGGATGGCTCTTCAATTTTCATATTTATTCCGCCTGCTCATGGCCTTCACCGTCTCCTGCGCTATCACGACGTGTGGTTCCAGCCTGAGGGTACTGTGCTCTGAGCGAGTCGCTCACGATTTTATCCTTCCTTCCTTTTCATCGTTCCATAGTAGCGACATTATTGAGCAAATCCCTCCTCCTACCTCGTTACCGTTGCGTCTGCTCTCCCGCTGAACCCCCGCATCCCGCTTTTCTCTATGTCCGTGCTCGCGTTCCATTGAACAGGTGTCGAATCTTTTTTGCTCGCGGAGTTGCGCCGAGTTCCAATGCAACAGTGAGTGCTTCTCTCTGCTCTGCACTGCATTCGCCTCGTTACTCGCACACACGTTCTCTCTCATTCCCTCCGTGAATTCGCGAAATGGGCCCGAAATTGCGTCCACTTTCGGGCATGAAAATTGTGAAAATCTCAGCGTTCCAGTTTACCTGGAGACACTGAGCTTTCATACAAGTGAACGAATAATCTAAAAACTCTCTTTCGTGGACCAAAATTTGGGATGGTGAGAACTTTCGTTGAGTTTGAAACTTCGTCCCTATATTAATATATCGGAACGAGTTGTTACATCTCTCTGTCTCTCTCCCTCTCTCTCCGTCTTAATTTCAATGGCCTTTCGTCCCGTCCCCCCTCCACTTACCTCCCATTTCCTCTGATATTCTCATTCCTAACATTGTCGCAATACCCCCTTTCTGCCGCTCGCTTTGCCGATCCCTTACTCTCTTACCAGCCTTGTTCATGCGCTACGGAAAGTATTGCGGCGTGAAGTGGAGTGGCTGTCCGGGGCAGGCGCCATGTGATGACGTGGACAACTGCTGCATGCAGCATGACAGTTGCGTCGAAGCGAATGGTGTGCCCCTAACCTTTGACCTTTCACAAAAAGTGGTTCTCTGTGAAAGTTGGTATTTATTCACTTGAATGAGCGGTGTGCTTACTAACATGCCTTGTGTCCTGAAAACATTTTCATCCATTTCATGCTTGCGCCTGTTGTCCCTTGTTGTCCCTTTAATTTCACTATAATATTCCGGCTTACTCGTTATCTGTACGGTACTTCTCCTACACCTATCGGTACTGCTCTGCAGGCAACTGGGCTATCCCATGCCACCAGGAGTTGAAGAGATGCGTGAAGGCTGTGCAAGAGTCAGGAAAACAAGGATTCTCTTGGAAATGCCCTTACAGTACGTTCATTCCTTCGCTTACAACAGCAATGGATATAGCCATAGCGGGTTCAAACGTATTTGGTACAAAATGAGTCCCTGTTACGAGTTCTGTAGGTGCTGGCGGATTTGTATGCTGCAAATGGGTGTTGTATGATGGGATTGGGGAAGTTGATGTGCCAAGTGTAATGAGAGAGTGGAGAGATCATCATGGTAGTTTGAGGAAGCCCAGTGCCATACCGTATATGCAGTATGATGCGAAAAGGGGAAAGGTTGATGCTCCAAGTGTAAATCTAGGGATTGGAGAGATCATCACACCCAGTTGAGGAAGCCCAGTGCTCCCACGATCCCATCCCACTGAACATGTAGATTTGGAAAATGTCACTACAAAAAAGAGAATCACCTCAAGGCGTTCCAAGAGTTGCATAGAAGCTCCCAAGGTTGGCAGAAGCTCCCAAGGTTTGGCAGAAGCCCCCAAGGATGGCAGAAGCTTTCAAGGTTGGCAGAAGCCCCCAAGGATGGCAGAAGCTCCCAAGGTTGGCAGAAAGCCCAAAGGTTGGCAGAAGCCCCCAAGGATGGCAGAAGCTCCCAAGGTTGGCAGAAGCTCCCAAGGTTGGCAAGAGCTCCCAAGGTTGGCAAGAGCTCCCAAGGTTGGCAAGAGCTCCCAAGGTTGGCAAGAGCTCCCAAGGTTGGCAAGAGCTCCCAAGGTTGGCAAAAGCTCCTAAGGTTGGCAGAAGCTCCCAAAAGTTGGCAAAAGCTCCTAAGGTTGGCAGAAGCTCCCAAAAGTTGGCAGAAGCTCCCAAAAGTTGGCAGCTCCCAAAAGTTGGCAGCTCCCAAAAGTTGGCAGCAGCTCCCAAAAGTTGGCAGAAGCTCCCAAAAGTTGGCAGCTCCCAAAAGTTGGCAGAAACTCGACCATTAGCAGAGGGCCGACTCCACTGGGGATCGAACCCAGAATCTCTGGTTCCGTAGACCAGCGCCTTATCCATTGGGCCATGGAGTCGCGAGTAGGTGTAGAATAATTTTATTATTATCATTAAACTACAAAACTGACCAAGTTCCTCCGTATCGCTATTACCTCCCATTTATCTCCATTCTCGCCATTTGTCTACCGCTATTACCAATCCCTTACGCGCCTAGCAACTTAGAATCCGCCATGGCAGCATAGGCAGCCTAAGTGGGTCATCCTGGTCTGCCTAACAGGACCGGATAGGTTGGTGGTCCGACCTAACTAGGAGGAATTTGTCAGTACTATTCAGGAAGGAATCTAATTAGTCAGTTCTAGTGGTGTGGGTAGGCAGGTAGGTGGTATTGCGGGCCGCGGACGGCTTGCTGGTGATGGCAGCGCAAGACCCGTTCTACCTCGTTCGCGACGAAATACAGGATTCGGTACGCGATGGAATCTAGGTTACAGGATTCGGTACGCGATGGAAATCCAGGTGTAACCATACTAAAAGAGCGAGTTTCAGGAATTTGCATGTTATGGATTCTAGGTTAACCGCAGTGACTTTTGAGAATTCTCAAAATTTGCATGTTATGGATTCTAGGTTAACCGCAGTTGAAGAGCGACATTCAGGAGTTCGTATGTTACGGAAGTTAGGCGTGTGTAACCATACTAGAAACACAGAATCTGGTACGTGATGAAATCTAACGTGCCGTGAATGGCAATGACAATCGCGCGAGCCACGATAAGGAGGTCGGGAGTCGGTCCGGTTACCCTTACCTTGTGTAACGCTCACTGAGACGTCTCAAAAATGGCAATCGCGCGAGCCACGATAAGCAGGCCGGGAGTCGGTCCTGTTACCCTTAGCTTGTGCAACGCTCAGCTTGTGTAACCTTTAGCTTGTGTAACCTTTAGCTTGTGTAGCCTTTAGCTTGTGTAACCTTTAGCTTGTGTAACCTTTAGCTTGTGTAACCTTTAGCTTGTGTAACCTTCAGTTTGTGTAACCTTTAACCCATAGCTTGTCTAACCCAACGCGTGTGCAACCCTAAGCTTGTGTCACCGTAAGCGTGTGTACCTGTAAGCGTCTGTAACCCTAAGCTTGTGTCACCCCAAGCTTGTAATTTCACCATCACCTGTCGTTCACCTGGTGCTTCCTCTTCCTCCCCTCCACCACCGCTCTCTGCCACTTTTTCCCCCTGTATCCAAGGTACAGCATGACTACAGCAAGCGGGAGCGGCAAGGGGCGAGCAGCCAGGAGAGGCATGGCTACGTCTTCTTGCCTCGCCCTTCCCCCTCGCGCCGCCTCCCATTCACCCCGTCCTCCAACCCCCCTCTCCCCCAGGTGTCCAAGGTACAGGAGGACTACAGCAAGTGGGAGCGGTTAGGGGCGAGCAGCCAGGAGAGAGACCGCCTCACCCTTTCCGCCTCACATTTCCCGCCTCTCCCTTCCCCCTCTCGCCGCCTCCCATTCCGCTCCTCCTCCCCAGGTGTCCAAGGTACAGGATGACTACAGCAAGTGGGAGGGAACGAGTGCTGACTAGTTGTTGTCCCACTTTCCCTTTCCTTCCCCCCTCTTCCCCCCTCTTCCCCCCTCTTCCCCCCTCTTCCCCCCTCTTCCCCCCTTCTCCCCGCGCCTCCAGGTGTCCAAGGTACAGGATGTCTACAGCAAGTGGGAACGGCGGCCTCAGTCTTCCCCTCTTTCCCACTCGCCCCTCTTTCCCGCTCGCCCCTCTTTCCCGCTCGCCCCTCTTTCCCGCTCGCCCCTCTTTCCCCCTCGCCCCTCTTTCCCCCTCGCCACTATTTCCCCCTCGCCCCTCTTTCCCCCTCGCCCCTCTTTCCCCCTCGCCCCTCTTTCCCCCTCGCCCCTCTTTCCCCCTCGCCCCTATTTCCCCCTCGCCCCTCATTCCCCCTCGCCCCTCTTTCCCCCTCGCCCCTCTTACCCCCTCCCCAGGTGTCCAAGGTTCAGGATGACTACAGCAAGTGGGAGGTG